ATGGGGCTTAATCATACCTGTTCTACCAGATCGCCCGCGACACCACGGATCAGCTCGAAGAGATCACGCTCGAAGGCCAGCATTTTATCTGATGCGGCCTCTGTCTCGCCGAGAGCGGCGACAGCGTCTGGGTGCAGTTCCGACGGCAGCCAGAAGGAGATATCGAGCGGACATGGCGGGAAATGACTAATCGCCTACAGCAGATGCAAGAAAAAAACTTAATTTTGTACAAATAAGGCAAATCCTAGAGCCCCGGATCAAGTAAAATCTTCAAGAACTGAAGACCCTGCTCGGTTGGATTAGCTAGAAAAAGTCAAAATGGTTCTTTTTCACAGGTGTTACAACTTAAAAATCCATCCCGGTGAGGTCCTATTTGACCTCCGACTCAGAAGATTTATTTTTAGAAAACTAACCTTATAGGCTATGGGCTTGTTGATGTCTTTCGTGTGGAACTGGCTCAGAAAACCCGGATCCTGTGACCAGAAAAGTCGAATGTCAGGAATGCCATAGAGTTTCATTGCCCAACGCTCCAGCCCCAAACCGAAGGCGTAGGCGGCCTTGTTAGTCACACCGCCTAGAGAAGACAGTAAGGACGGAGTCGGTTGTTAAGGAGAAAAGCATACGAGCGAGAGTATGAAGAAAAAAATTGAAAATAAGGACGAGGATAATGATTATGAAAAGTAGGTGGAGGGGAGGAGGAGGAGGAGGATGGAAAGAATCCATGTAACATGAAACATGAACGTAGGAAATAAACATAAATGGGGTGTAGTAATACGAAGGCAGAGAAGGAAAAATAGCACGGAAAGAATATCAAAAACTGTATGAAGAAGAGGAAGATGACTGCATTATGTACACTTTAAAGTACTAAGACCTACATTTGTCAAGGATTTCCTGACGCAGAATTCCACAGCCGAGCATCTCCGTCCAGCCGTCATCGGAGTCGCCAGCCCTGACACCAGTCTGAATCTCCAACTCCCAGGAGGGATGTGTAAAGGGAAAGTAGGCGGAAACCCAGCGCATAGGGGTGTCTGCATTACAAAGGGAGAACCGAAAACACAACGTCAGGTTTACATAACTCGGGGCCAGTAACCGCAAAGATGTTCGATTCTGTTCTGCAGAGAGACGGCCGATAACCTGCCAGACACGGAAGCTGAGTAAAAGTGGGGGAGTAAGCGCCGCTCAACCTTGTCCCCAAGGACGTTGAAGACAAAGTTCCCTGGCACAAATGTTTCTACTATTCAAAGACCGCGTGAGTCCGATATTGGCTGAGCTTTTGGAACATTTTGCGGGCACGACACA